ACTTATGTTAACTCCTCGTTCATAGTGTGATGTGTCTACACAGGACAATTTCAACATGGCGGGGATTTCACAGAAAAAGTGATCAATGGCCCTAGAGTGACAGTAGGGAAAATGCAGCACAAGAGCTGTGTGGACTATGGAGTTGGAGATTCCCACGAGCCAGGATCCTGCAGCCATGAGCCCACTGGAGTTCTCCCTCATCAGCACAGGGTACCGAAGTGGGTGGCAAATGGCCACATAGCGATCATAAGACATGGCTGCCAGGAGAAGGCACTCACCACCTAGCAATGTGAGGGACAGAAATATCTGGAAGGCACAGCCTGCAAAGGAAATGGTTCTGCTGCCTGACAGAAAGTCAGCGATCATTTTAGGCACAATGTTGGAAATGTGCAGGATATCCATGAAGGAGAGATGGCTGAGCAGGAAGTACATTGGGGTATGCAGTCGAGGGTCCCTGCGGATTAGGAGGATCATGAGGGAATTTTCTATTATGCTCATAATAAAAATGAAAAATATCAATGAGAAAAAGACTAGACTGGTCTGTGAAGAAGAGAACAGTCCCAAAAGAATGAAATCACTATTGATGGTGTGATTGTCAAGCTCCATCACGATGGGCAGTATTCCACCTAGAAAGAAATAGTTACTTCACTAATTTGAAAAAGTATAGAAAATCTCAAGATCACGTACATATAATCTACATAATGAAATGAGTATGAATGACGCACATTTTCAATGAACATCAAGGTCTCTCAGCCATTAATTTTGAGCTGCCTTGTTTTACATGATGGAAATTTACTTCTTCGAGCCTGCTGATGAAATGAATACATTGAATGGCCTCTCCCTTTTTAATTTTCAATATATTTACTCCAAACTTCTCTCAGCTGCACTTCCTCAAGGAATCACATTCTACACACGCTTTTTAAGTACTGACGCTCCCACATGCATCTTCCTCTGTTAATTTACTTTTTCCTATATAACCATTCTTCTAGCATAAGCAATAACCTTATGAATTATGTCTGTTGTTGATTGATGCCTCTTCCTCCAGGGCTCTGAACTTGATACCGTGTTTGTGTTGTGTTCACTGTTATAAGTCAGTTGCTTTCAGCAGCCATTGGTGCACAGCAGTTACCCAGTAGTATTTGGCCAGCATGTAAAATGAGAAATGGCCCAAGAAATGTTAGTGTCTTTGCATTGCACTTCCACCTATATAAAAGAGAAAACGAAGTATATTCTTCCAAGTACTTTCTCATGCAAAACAACAATAGGAAAACCTTACTTTATAACTGAAAGATGACTTATACCTTAGTGACAAAGACAAGATTTATTAGTTAAAGTTGATAATACACCATTAAGAAAATATTAACCTTTTTCCCATTGTGTGAATTACAGAAACTTAATCATTATTAATTTTGTATAACATTTCTTGGGATGTTTGTTCACTATTTGACTTCCTAAATAATTTAGCCAGTAAGTGTATTATTTCATTATATACACAAAGTGTTTGATCTTATTGATGGAACCAGTAAAG